GTGAAAATTGTGTGGTGATCCCAATTTTGTTGGATTGCAACCCCCAGCAATTCTAGCCAGCACAGGCAATGGTGAAGAATGCTGGGAGCTGCAGTTCAACAACATCTGGAGGTCTACACAAAATTCACCTCTGCCACAGACCAACAGTATGTATCTATACTGTATCTACATGCACTCCTTGTTCTTTGCAACCAATGAGAACAATTTGACTCATGATCTGAATCTATGAACACAACCCAGGAGAATATATTTTAAATCCCTTACTTTCATTCAAAGAGATGTGCAATGCAGTCCTGTGTTAATTTACTGAAATTTAAGTCTCACTTCCTTCAATGGAGCTTATTCCTGCCCCTAAGATTTATGTTTCTGATTACACTCATTCAGAGCAATCCTATCAGCATCAAGTCCCACTGAGTTTAGTGGTGGTTACTCAGGTAGGTGTGTAAGGTATTGAAGACTTCAAGGACAATCCTATATGCATCTACACAGAAATATGTTCCACTCACATGTAAATGGGCATAGGATTACAGGTCTAATGTATTTAATTTCCCCATTGAAATTAATCACACTTGTAAACTTCCTTTAGATGGATTCTGGTTCACATTTTGCTTCCAACACTTTTAGGAAAATATGATAACTGAACAAATTGGTAATGTTTTGCTATGCATAAGGTAAACTCTTTCCCCCATTCCTTTCCTTTCCTTTCCTTTCCTTTCCTTTCCTTTCCTTTCCTTTCCTTTCCTTTCCTTTCCTTTCCTTTCCTTTCCTTTCCTTTCCTTTCCTTTCCTTTCCTTTCCTTTCCTTTCCTTTCCTTAAATATCCTAATTGGAAGGAAAAGGGCTTAGAAATAAAGAGCTTATTGTAATGTCAAGAAGTAGCTTGTTTATGTGAAAGCTAGAAAATGGTTATTATTTAATTTTGCAAGGTCAAGTCAAACATGTATAGATGTGTAATACCTTGATGCTACCATGAATACTCATCCTGAAGAGGAAGGCTGTTGCATGGACTCTGTATGGACTCTGTACCCTTATTACTAAGAGGGAAAATAGAAGACAAGCTAGAAGTATGGCTCCACTCCTACAGACCTTACTGACTGAACTCAGTGGGATGCAATTCTGAGTAAAGATCTGACTGAGTTTTTCCATGTGAGAAAAAAGATAATTTATGATTTCTGTCTCTAACTTACTAATTAACCAAAGCAGCAAACACTTGTACCCAGTATTAAAAATAACATAAATGGTAAGTGTGATGAGTGTCCCAGTTTGGTGTCCCTTGACAATCAACATGGGATAATATATTTATTCAGGGCTGCCTGAAATGCCCTCTGCTGATTTTGGTAAAAAGGGGAATGATTTTGAAGGTTGCAGCAAAACTGAGAAGGTTGACAGAAACTCTCTACTACCACCATAACCAAAGCTACTTGTTACTCATTCCCTTTGTTGACATCATGAGGGTCCCACAACAATATTATATAATATTGAAGCACCACCCTGATGGAGCTTTAGGGTGATAAGTGACAACTTCCAGTAGGAAACACATTTTCGAAGTGATGCTGTGCCATCATATACCATCTGTTCAGGGATATCTGTAAGGAAATGGAAGCTGTGGGTCACCTGATAGTAGCAGTGAGTTCTACCCCATATCCGGCTTTTGTTCCCTCTCCAAAATGACCAAAGTCCCACCCTTGCTTTGCTCCCACCTCGACTTTAAAACTGCAAGTTTTGTTTTGAGAACTTTCTGCTCATTCTTTGCTGAATTGTGAATTTTGGATTTTGACTATTGGTTTTCCTTATAATACGAGAGCAGTGCAAGGTAGTAAAGATTTCTGGAACTTTAGGATATATATTTTATTTAAAAAATCAAATAGTGGCTCAAATTCTTCTCTAATATAATTAATTTATACCCCATGTTTCTCCCAAGATGGAATTTAAGGCATCTCAAAATAATTTGAAAAAGAGTAAGCTAAATCATTAGTTTAAACAATGGCCCAAAGTTCTATAACAGAGAGGCAGCCTGAAAGGATGGCATGATTAATGGTACTGAAAGCCACTGAGAGGTCCAACAGAACCAATAGTGATACATGGTTTCTCTCTAGTTCCCTGTGTAAGTAATCTACTAAAGTAATCAATGTTGTTTCTGTCTGATAGCTGGACCTGGAGCCAAACTGAAATGGATATAGATAATCCATTTCATCAAGGAACCCCCTGGGGCTGGGAGGCCACCATACACTCTAATACTATGCACAACCAAAAAGAGATATTGGAGACTGACTGATAATCTTCAATTATGGTGGGATCCAGTAGCATTCCTGGGGGGGGAGATGTGGGGGGTGCGGGCCGCACCGTGACCCTCAAAGGGGGTTGACACCCTACCCCCCAAACTCTGTCTTTGGCATAAATAGACTATGCTGTGTTTTTTTCTCCCTTGTCCCTTTAAAACGCAGACACTTCCATTCAGCAGAAGAGAAAGGCCCTTCCCTTTTTCCACCCATGCAGCCTTCAAAGCAAAGCAAAAGCAGCTTCATTTATACACCACTTCATATCACGCTATGGGATGTCTAAGTGGTTTACAATTGTAATGTCCCCCAACAGTTGGGTACTCATTTTAGTGACCTCGGAAGGATGCAGGCCTGAGTCTAGCCTGAGCCCTGGCTAGTACTGAACTCACAACCCTCTGAGTGGTAGAGCTCTTGCTTTCTCTCCTACCAATTGCAGCTCAGCCTGGAGCAGTGGGGGTATGCTCCATCCCCCCCTACCACCCAGAGAAGTTAAATGGAGAGGTCTTCCCAGGCAAGAAAATTTGGAGGGAGGGAAACAGGAAAGGTGTACATAAGTGGGTTGCTGTTTTCTTGCAGCAGCTTTTCCTAGCCCATCTGCTTTTCCTAGCCCATCTGCTTCCACCCCCCATCCCCAGGAGTTGGGGGAGCAAATCTCCATGTGTAGGTTTGAATTTGGGCTGCACTAGTTTCATTCCTCAACTAAATGGGGGACTGATAGGCATTTTGCTGTGTGTGTGTGTGTGAGAGAGAGAGAGAGAGAGAGAGAGTGAGAGAGAGATAGAGAGAGAGATTGAAACTGGGCTGCAAAAGAAGCCTATCCCTACCCTGCATGCCAAGAGAGTTTCAAAACCCGCCCATTCCCCAACAAAATGAGGGGCTGGTAGGCATTTGTGTGTGTGCATGTACACACGTGTGCGTGTTTGTGTGTGTGTGAGAGAGAGAGAACTACAAATCCCAGAAGTCCTTTGACTGAGTTATGACAGCTAAATTGCAACAAAACTGATAGTGTGGTATGTGTGTATAATAGTGTGGTATGCATACATCTTGAATATAATTGGAGCAATTCAAAGACCTAGCCATGTCAGCCTGGAAAGTCAGTCTGCAAAGGGAACTTGTAGCACCTTTAGAACTTACTGAGAGAAAGAAGCTGGTAGCATGGGAGTAAATTCTTTCCCTTTAACAAACATTCAGTTATTTGTCCAACTAGAGTAGACCCATTGAGTCTATGGGACATACACAAGCCTTGACTTAAGTGGTCTTACTGCTTCAGTGGATCTGCTTTAGCCATAATTTCAAGGGGAGGGATTCACAATCCTGGGAAGCGTGTAGAGTAGAGATTGCTCAAGTGCAGGGATAGGCAACCTTTTTGAGCCAGGGGCCGAGTTGTTGTCCCTCAGACAATTGGGGGGGCCGAAGCACCAAAAATAAGTAAATAAGTAAATAAATAAATAAATAAATAAATTTAAAAAATTAAAAAATTAAAAAAATATGCATGCACACTCTCTCAGCCCCAGAAAAGCCATGGCAAACCCCCTGTGGAGATTTTGCCAACAAAACCCCAAGAACAAGTAATAACAACAATAATCAATATCATTATGGCGGGTGGCGGCAGTGGCAGGACCGGCCTGGGGCTGGTCCAAGAGCCTTGGGAGACCGCATTTGGCCCCCGGGCCATAGGTTGCCTACCCCTGCTCAAGTGAAACCTGTTTCTTTTCTGTACTGCAATCATAAAATCCATTAATTGGAGCCCTGTGTAAAAGCAGTATATATAGAACTATAGAACAGGGTGCTTTTGAACATATTTTGAGCCTAAGGATATCTTTTTAGATACTATTTTAAATGCATTGTGAGACAGCCTAAGGCAGTGGTTTGTGTGTTGGACTGGGATGCTGAGAGACCAGGATTCAAATCCCTGCTCTGACTTGGACACCTGCTAGGTGACCTTGGACAAATTACACTCTCTCAGCCTCAGAGGAAAGCAAGAGCAAACCTGTTTTTGAACAAATTCTGTCAATAAATTCCTGTGGTAGGTTTGCCTTAGGGTCAACATAATTCATAAATGTCTTGAAGGCACACAACAACAACAACAGATTTCAAATGGAGTACAATCCTTTTACAAGTTACTCCTGGTTACTGCAAGCTTTCCCCCATTTCAGAATTAATGTGGATAGTAAAAATACAAATTATTATTGCTTCTCTTAGACATTTGGGTCCCAGAACTCTTGCAACATTTTTGTAAGCCAGATACCTAGCATTAAAATAAAAAAAAAAATAAAAAATATGCATGCACATTCTCTTAGCCCCAGAAAAGCCATGGCAAACCCCCTGTGGAGATTTTGCCAAGAAAACCCCAAGAACAAGTAATAACAACAATAATCAATATCATCATGGAGGGGGGCGGCAGTGGCAGGCAGTGGCAGATACCTAGCAGTAGATACTGATCCACCTTAAACATACCACTTCTTGTTCTAGAGCTGTAATTCCTAAAAACCCAAATAATAAGACCATCTTGCAGATGGGAAGGAGTCCCTTATGAGAACAGAAAGTCTTCAAGCAATTAACTCTTTCAGCCTCAGAGGAAGGCACATCTGATGGCTTCTAAAATGCAATAGTTTGTGTTCTTTACGAATATTTCTATTGGGTTCAATACAAAATGACTATCTATAAAAGTTTTGAGCAATGTTTCAGAAAAACCAATTTATTATTTTAATATAAATATCCCTGTAGTGTGGCATAGTGGTTTGAGTGTTGGACTATGATTCTGTATACCAGGGATCAATTCCCAGCTTGGCCATGAAACCCAGTGGTGACCTTGGGGAAGTCACACTCTCTCAGTCGCAGGGAAAGGCAATGGCAACCCTTCTCTGAACAAATCTTGCAAAGAAAACCCCATGATAGTCTCACCATAAGTCAGAAGGGACATGAAGGCATACAGCAACATTATAAACCAGAAACACATTTTTGTAGCCCAGCTTATACTGTATCAATTCACCTACCAAACTAACAAATTAACTTTTTGAACCTTCGAATGCACATGCACTGCAGACAGGTTTTAGTGCTGCTTGTGTTTTATAGTCACTGATTTTCACAAATTGCTAAGGATTCTGCATGGTCTAGTACACGAAGTGGCTGGGTGTGTGTGTGACACCACAAGTTCCCAGACTGGGTGACACCAAACTTAGTGATCCAGGGAGGAATTTTTCAATAATGGCTTCACCACAGCTCTTCTTTAAGACGGAAACTTGCATTGCTGTAGGGGGGCATTCACTACTCCCTTTATTCAATCCATTAGCCCCTCAGGCTGCCAGGAACAGCATGAGTCCAGTGTGCATAACAGTGCCTGTCATGTCTCCAAGGACCCTGTCCACATCCTCAGGCTGCACAAACTGAAATGTTTCTAATATCACTGGACAAGCAGGAGCTGAGGTTATATCCACTAGATCTATATCAAGCATAATGGATCGGAGTGATTTTATCCTCAAAATTCTGTGCAAACATTTCACAACAGGTGTCAAGATTTTTATATATTGCTCTTGCAGGGCAGAATGTAAAAGGCAGCTTCACTTGAGACAGCTCCACTGGATGACACTGTGTTGATGCAACAGTGGCAGTGAAGAAGGATTTTTTTTTGCCAGCACCATGGCATACATTTCTTACACTTGGTTGTATCTTGGTTTGGTTAAAATTCTGTTCTGAATGGGTTCCAATCAGCAAGCTCAGTTATTGCATTTAAAAATGCAGTAAAATCCAACAAGTCAGATCAAAACGGAACGATCAAACTCTTGCCTTCGCTCTAAAACAGTAATACATCACATTACACACCTGTCATGTTGCCTAAATACCCTAAAGAGATCAGGTTCTGTTTGATCTTGGAAGCTAAGCAGGGTCAGCCCTGGTTACTGCTTGAGTGGCAGACCACCAGCAAATATCAGGTGCTGTAAGTGATATTTCAGAGAAATGAAGTGGCAAACCACCTCTGATTATTCCATGCATAATAAAATCCTTTGAAATCCATGGGTTGCCTTAAGACACATACACACATGCACATGTTATTCTGAGATTTGTGACATATCTTACCAACCTCATTTTACTGAATTCTTCAAGTGGTGGATCTTATGGAGCCAAAAAGGAATGAATTTGAGTTATCAGTTAAGCCAAAGATACGAAATCTGAGCTCTTCCTCCCCACCTTTTTTTCTTTTATAAGTCTGGAAGCCCAAAATGCTATCTTTTATAAACTAGTGGCAATGTTTTTTGTTGAAATGGTGTGGGTTTGTTTTAAAAAAGAAAAGTGAGGCAGGGGTTTATCTCTGATGGTGATTAAGTTTGGAAATTCTTCTGACTTCCTGTTACTACAAAGAGGGTTTATAATGGGGATCTGGCAATCAGCATCAAACAGCTGCTTATACAGCTCTTATGACAAATAATGAAGACCAGTGGAACCCTCCCCCATTTTTTTCTTGGGGTCAATGACAGAAAGCGGAAGGATTTGTTTCAGAAGGAATAACAAACATTTCCTCAGACTTCCTAATCTTGCTTAATATAGGAAAAGAGAACCAAAAAATATCACTTATCTTTGTTTGACTTAGTTTGAGCACTTGAACATTTCATTATGCATTTATTATACAGTATGCAAATAAGGCCTCTCAAAATCATCCACTCTATTTGTTCACAGAGAGATTAGGAGAAAATTTTCCCTGGACTTCTCTTATGCCCTGTCTGCAGTGGCCATAAGTCTGGGGCCAGTCAAGAACACCCCTCAGTGTGGTGGCACAGCATTCTTTGCATGGACTAGCCAGTTCACCATTGCATTGGCATTGCTGGCCAGTCTCCTGTCCCCAGAGCCATGCTGCTGCTGTCATACCTGCAAAAGCTTCTTGGACAAACCACCCTGCACTCCATAGCTTCTCTGGAGGGTAGCCTTACCTTTGCCACCTTTTGAGGCTGAGGGTTGTGAGTTGCCCAAGGTCACACAATGGGCTTCTGTGGCTGACTTGTAGTCCAGTGCTCAAACCACTACACCACACTGGCTCCTAAGAAGACTTGACTCATTAGAAAAGATAATGATGCTTGGCAATTTAGAAGACAGTAGGAAAAAGCAGAAGACTCAATTTCAGGTAGATAGATTCATTCAAAGATGCCACAGCACTGAGTTTGCAAGACTTGAGCAGTTTCCACCATAAGCTGAAGAAAGTTATACCAGAAGTGTACAGTGGAAAAGAAAGACTTGTTTTCACTGCTCTTCCTTAGTGAGAGTGAAGGCCAGAGGCAGCTGAATGAAACAGGGTTGAATTCTGACCCTGAGTAGTCTTGCCAGCTTGAAACTGTGAAGTCTACTAGTCATAGCCTCACAGGCTCAAATGTGATCTTACCATCAACAGTCAATAGTTTCATATCATATTCATATTCCTAAGTCTTATAACACTCCACACTGCAAATGCATGGCAATAGGGTTCATGTATGATTATAAACAGACAGAGAAAACAAATCACTGGATGCTTTATCATGAGCCTGGATAATCTAATTCCTAACAGTGCTTTCCCTTCATTATGTCAGAAAGAATGAAGTTATCCAGACTGTAGGGGAAAGTATGGAATGTGAAACAGAGAACTGGTGAGTGGGATGGCAAAGCACATGGTTCTAAAGTAGAGCTGGAATAATACTATTAATAATAAAACATAGACAAAAATCTTAGGTTAAATGTGTCTATTTCATTTTTGCAGACAAGGGATGATCAAATAAATTATTTAGGCATACATTTGACTCACTGTCTTGAACTTAAACAGGTATACAGAAGGAACTCTTGCTTTAGTATCTAAGGTTTAGACAAAGGCCACAGTACATTGTGGTTAAATAAATGTGCTTATGGCAATTGATCCCAATTGACTGATGATATTGTACTCAGTGTGGCCTATAGCTAAAGAAATACCATTTGTAAAATACTGTTTGTAAAACACCATTATAGATTAGGCAGTCCTTCATGCCTCAAATAAAAGTTACCAGGGGAACAAAATTTAACAACTGCAAGAAAAACGTACATTGTTGTTGCTGTTGCTGCTGTTTTAGCATGTCTTCGAGTCATTTTGTTCTTATGAAGACCATAAGGTGAACCTATCATGGGGTTTCCCAGGCAAAATTTGTCCTAAGGGGATTTGCCATGACCTTCCTCTGAGGCTGTGAGTGTGTGACTTGTCCAAGGTCACTCAGTGGGTTTCCATAGCTGAGTGGAGATTCAAACCCCTGTCCCCAGAATTCTAGTCCAATACCCAAATCACTCTACTCCACTGGCTCCAAACATAGTTTACAAAAAGCATTTTGAACTGATTTATGTGTATTTCCTACAAGATCAATTTAATACCCTAGAACTGTCTGTCCACTCTAAACAACAAACAACCCCAAATCCACTATTTTTTTTTTTTACTTTAAAAAATTAGAATATCAGGAAGAGGGCTGGAATTCTCTGCCTCTCTGCTCATCTCTTTTTAATGAGAAATCAGTCCTCTTCAAAGTGACAAGCATCTATATGTGGTATAATCCCCAAATATTTGTACCATGTTTTCTTACTTCATGTCAGTCTATTTTTCTCTCAAGGATGCTATGATTTTCCAGATTCTCAGACAGAGAATTTTCACATAACCTGCTATTTGATCTTTAAACAAACACACACACACAAAGAGAGAGAGAAAGATACCAATTATAGGAATACTTCAATTAACAAAGCCTCTGACAAAGAAGAACTTTTTTGCAAACTCTTTTTATACCAGCCCAACCCCCTTTTCCTCCTTGTCTAGCTGGTAGGGGTTTAGGAGCATCTACATTGGGATAGCTGGAGAACTGTGTCAGGTTGCAACAGTATGAATACAGAAAACAATGCAATAAACAAAAGCTTGAGCTCGGAAAGAATGGGATTGTATGCTAGCCTATCCTACTGTAACTGTATGGGACTGCCTCAAACAGATTAACAGAAACTGCTTTAAGAATTCCTTAGTGAGCGTGTGTGAACAGAAAACAGACAGAAACATCTAAAGTAGATAAGCCTGCCTCACCAGCTACCCCTTCCCCAACATGTTAAAATGTTTAATTGCAGAAAGTGCAAAGGTTTACAGCTGAACATCAAGAAAACAAAAAATATGGCCACAGACAATCTACATAATTTTTAAGTAGATGTTGAAGAGGTTGAAATAGTTAAAGATTTTAATAATGCTCGGGCTCAATCCTCAATTAGTGTGAAGGCTGCAGTCAAGAAATCAGAAAAAAATAGGACTAGGGTAGCTATGAAGGAACTAGAAAGATCCTGAAGTGTAAAAATATATAATTAAATACTAAAGTTAACATTGTCCATGCCATTATATTTCACATTTCTATGTATGGTTGTGAGAGCTGGACAGTGTGAAAAACTCTGTAACATCTGTTCTTCTGACAGAGAGGAATGTCATAGAACTACAGACTAACTACACATTGGACAATGAAAAACTTCAGTGGATTGCAGACTAGCTGATGGAGAAAAAGAGTATTTGGAATGGAGAGATTGATTCTAATCATTGTGTGCTTTTCTCAGCTGCCCATACATCTGAGGATAACTATAAAAGTGGCTCAGAAATATTAAGATAGTTAACATTTCCAGTTCAGTTGTTTTATTTATATTGCAGTTATTTTGGCATGTAAATATAATGGACTATACTTAACCGGTTATTTTGTTTTCAGTTATTTGTATGAAAATGATAAGCCAGATAACTTGAGTGTTCCTTTCCTATGTTGTTAACCAGGGGTAGGCAACCTTTTTGAGCCGGGGGCT